GCCTTTGAAGTTCAGCATCTACACACAGACTGTCCCTCATTGGTCCAYCCAATATGACTAAATCACTGAGATGACACACAGAGAAAGCAYGTGTGCACTCACAGAAGCAAAAGGTGGTTATGATAGGTACTAGAGGAGAAAAAAGGCAGCTGCACAACTATCAAATATACTTGTAAACCCCACACCCTCTTCTTTGCTGACTGTGATGTCTCTTCATAAATATGTGATAGTTTGGAGAGTTTAACTGAACAGGCTGTAAACAGAGATTTAATTTATCATTTGATTCCAATWGCATTTGATTAAATACAACTTTATGGTGTCTTTTCTTCAATTAAAAGTCTTCCTAACAATGTACCCAAATCACAGTATTATTATCTCACCAATGTGATTGCTTCTGCAAGGACTAAAATACAGCCTAACAAAACCCAAAGTGGAACCAATAGGAGATGCAATGTTATGCAGATTTGCAAGTCAAGTTTAGGTAAACAAAGGAAGGATTCTTTCCTACATTTCTTCTGACAAATTGAACACAGATTAAAAAACTTAAGTTAAGTTAAAAAACTTAACTCTCAAACTGTGTGCARTCATATAACTAATTTAGTCTACCAYTTGTCATTCATTCTGTACCTCGTATCATTCTTCCGTAAAAGAGATAAAGAGAAAAAACAGTAGTCACAGTGTCAATATAATACAGGAAACATACTATCTCACCTTCTGAAGCAATATCCTTGCTGTACACCTTCTCTGAACACACTGGAGATTTGTATATGTGAAYAGTACATCTTTTACTACTGCTTCATAAATAAGCTCTTCTGAGAAATATTCTTTGGATGTGGTAAGTTCTTCACTATCTTACCCATATATCAAGGTACTGGCATTACAGAAAAGACACATTATTTTTGACATCTTTTTTTAGATACTTCTCATATTGAGCCTTGACGTCTGTAATATTTTTTGCTATATTATGCCCATAATATGAGTATTTGGTTTTCATTGTTGTGCAAGTAATGCATTTCACCTTTAGAAAAGGAGGCTTACTACCTCAACTCCAGCCATGAAAAAATGATATAGAAACTGTAGTGCTACTACCAAGTCCTGGGTGATAATTTCACAGTGCTTCCCTGTCATACTTCTTCCACACACAGAGCAGTAAAAAATTACTATTATTATATTTTTAAAATAGACCTTACACTCAMTGCATCTTCCCTATCAAATGTACTTTGTAAGTAATACAATTATAGGGCGAGCTGATTATTTGGTTATATATGTTTTRATATTTTAGAAGACAGATGTCCACAGAATAAAAAAAAAACCAGCAGATGGCGGCCAACATTAATAGAGTCAATCTTGATCACCAGCACTTAACAGAGTTCCATAAAAGACACAAAGAATGGGTAACAGGGGTGAAATGATTCTTCAGGGAAATGTTATTTGTGTAACATTGTTTTTCYACTCAATACAAAAAGCATCAGCCTGAATTAGAATCACAGGTCTCTGAAAGCAAATATGAGAAAAATGTTTCCAGGCAACATAAAACATGGTTGTAAAGCAGACAAGATTAAGCATTCCAAAATAACTRTAAGGGAAGAAAAAAGTAACTCATAATCTTGGTTTTTACAGTTAAAAAGGGAAGGAAATAAAGAGATAGAGGAAGGGAAGAACTTGGAAATATAATTCCATCCAGTGAAAGTGGAAGAAAAAAAACCTGAACTACCCAGAATACCTATTTTTAACGGTAAATGAGGAAGGGGAGGAGGGTAACTGTTACACAAAATAGCCTATTGAAACTTGTAATTATCTGACCTTTCTGGAAAGTCTATCAGAGCCACTGCTAGGTGGAAGCAAATGAAAGGCTTACGAATTTCAAAAAAACCCAAACAAACMAACCTTGACAAACAGAAGATACGTGGCCATTAGAGATGACTTCATAATACAGTAGCTACAGGAGTTAGAAATGCACTATCAAGAATGCACTGAATAATCTACTCCCATTCCAAGCACATGCCTAATTTCACTGCATTCCTGCCATATCCGTTAGTGAAAGACTGTCTTACATGTGGCACTATCATGGCTTACAAGACTGCGAAAGGCAGGCACAAAAAGCAGTTGCCTAAGATAGTCCCACATCAGTCTTGTCACRAAGATGTATGCCAAACATGAAGCACACACAAAACACCTCTTATTTCAGAACACAACTGTTCTGTTCTCTTTTCATGCATTTCCAAAATCTTAGAAAACAAAAAGAAATGAAAGAGAGGTCTGTATGAGAGAAGATAACAGGTCTCCAACCAATCCAAGCAGTCACAGCTCTGTACTTGATGTGTGTGAAGCCCTGGAAAGCTCCCTACTTAGAGTTGTTGGAAATATTTTAATTAACTGGTTAATGCTTTAAAAACCGTATCACTGATTTTTATTGTGCAAAATCAGAGTTGCACGAACTTACACACAAACACTGACACAAGTAGCAGGCATTAATTCCTAAGACAGTGCCCATTTCTATCTCAGCTTCTGTTTTTTAGACAGCACACAAACTCATTCCCTGAAGTAACAGTCCATTAAAGTAACTCAACAGAAATATATAGGATTTGAGTTTTTCTTCCAAACTAAGGATGGTCAGACAAACCCTACCAATTTACACTAAGTCTTTTTGAAGGTATTTCTCCCAGCTGCTGATYCTGACAGAATGATCTGCTTTGAACACCAGTCAAAGCAACTGCCACACACAATCACTCGAGCACACAGCCTGGCACATGCACGTGAGCCTGTAATGCAAGCTAATATCCTGATCCACAAACAAGGATCTCTGAAGCATATAGACCAACTGGTTTGTGTTATGTACTCAGTGTATTCTTCAAAAGGTGTACAAGAATTTCAGGCAAGACTTTCTCTACAAGCCACTGGCCAATATCCAGATGCTACACATTTAAACATCAGCTTTTTRTACCATAAAAATAAACCCATGTTTGACCTCTCTTCAGCTAAGCMCGATTTGCTTCATCTGTACGAAAAAGCTAATTCAATTGCTTTCAACAAGCGGGTGCTAGAATCATAAGCTATAATGCTCTCTACTTAGCACTTTTAAAAAAAAATAAGTTTTTGGATAAACATTCTCTTTAATTTAAGCCTTTTGGATAAACATTCTCTTTAATAATTATAAGAGGTTTATAACTAATTCCCTCTATACTCCTTTCAAGGCAGCTTCTTCTAAATCCAGGTTTATACATTTTTCACACAATGTAAGACACTAAGATCTTAGTAAGAACTCCGCTTTGAACACTGGCATCAAAAATAATTTTACTTTTTAAATACTGAGCAATATGTATACATTATTTTTGGTGATTACAAACTCTTTTCCCCCATGCACAAATAACACAAATATGTAAGACATCTTAAGCCTTTTCAAGTTAAGAATGGGTTCTGTAGATGAAAGTAAGGCTTAAACAAACTAACGGAAACATTTGCTACTGTGAAACTACTATAAAGCAATCCACAGAAGAGAGCTTTCAGACCTCACTCAGTGTCACAAGGAAAACAGCATATTTTGTAATGAGAAATTAATTAAATCATTGATATCCCTTGACAAAACAATTGGTACCATTCCAGAAGCCTCCTTTTAGGTCTAAAAACCATAGGAATAATAAGCATAATGGAAGACCTTCTTTACTAACTACAGCAGCAAGTTAGCAGCAAGGGAAATTTATTTCAATGACCTGAAATTACAAGTCAAGAGAGAAAATATCTTCTCTCAAATAAGGGGGGAAACACCAAAAAAAAAAAAAAAGAAAAAAAGAACTCCCCTTCTGTCCTCAAAATACTAATTCCCTAAGAAAAATATCCAGGACTGAAAAAGAACCATAACTCACTATTGGCAAAGAAGATAGGAAGAGCATCCTTAAACTCTCTTTAGTCCATCAGTGATTGTTTGTGTTATAGCATCTAAAATAGTTAGGGAGAGACCAAATACATTTTACAAGTCTCTCCCCACAAATTTATCATTACTTGATAAAAAATAAAAAACAAAATTAAAAAAAAAACAAACTCCACAAAAACAAAACAAATGCCATGACCAACATACGTCTAAAGATAGAATTTTCTGGGGTTTATTTTACAAAATTATTTCAAGGTGGACATGGGCCTGGGTAATCTGCAATACCTAGTACTACTTGAGCTGGGGCAAGTGACTAGAGATGCTGAACAGCATTAAACTGGCACAGAACTACCTCGGATTTTATTTCCACTCAAAATACACAAGGAAAGGCTATGTGTGACTGAGTTTCAGTCATGATGGAGCATGCATGTCMGATCATATTCATATACAGGAGACACMCAAATAAAATCTTTGCTGAAAGAGAATGACTGTTTTCAACTWAATGCAGCTGTCATTAATGAATACCATCTACAATGTCAAAGAACTAATTCCTTAAGGGTGGAATCAGAAAATCAGTCTTCTCTTTCCAATGCTGACATTGGTAAGCCACCTCAGTCATTTAATTTTACCTCTGCAAAACTGTTATCCTCAGTAAAGGACCTAGCACACAACTATGCTGAAATCTTTAGATGAATTACAYAGCAGCATTTATTAAGATATAGTTTCACCTACATGTCATCAGTGTTAAAGAGGCCAGTGAGTGGAATAGCTCATTAATCAGCTTTGAGAGGGTGGACCAGATCCACGTTTCATATTCTTTCAGGAAACCAGAAGCCCAYGAGAAGGCCATAAACCCAAGTTGTGTGAAAAAAGGACATGGACTGCTGGCTGCACATCCCTATGCTTTGCATTCTGCCCCCACCACTGCTCCCTATGCTCCGGGTGCAGACATTCAGTTTGTAGGGAAAGGCAGGACGGAAAGTTTTGTCACTTCCAGCAGCGCCTCCCTCGCACGAGGCTTGCCGCGTTGCGGGACAGGGATGCCAGCCCGCCCGGCTGAGCGCGGCGGGGCCCGCAAYGGGATGAGGGGGCGACGGGGATGAGGGGCGACGGACAAGGAAGGAACACTTACAGCGGCGGCCACTGCCCCGCCGGCGTGCCGGCTCCCGGGGCGTGTGCGGGGCACACGGGGACACGCCGGTCCCTCGCCTGGCCCCGCCAGGCCCCCGAGCTGCTGCTGCTGCTGCCGCTGCCGCTGCCGCTGTCGGTGTCGGTGTCGCCGCCCGCCCGGGGTCCCTGCCCGCCGCACTCGGCCGGGCCGCGGCGCCCGCGGATGAGCTCATCGGCCCCGCCCCGCCGGCCCAGCGCGGCCTCCGCCGGCCCGGGGCGGGCACCGTGAGGGGACAGGGGGTGACACGCTGCTGTCACCCGAACTGGCATCGCCCCGCCGGGTATGGGTTCCTTCGGTGGATCGCAAGCTGCCCATGAGCCCTGGTGGCCAGGAGTGCCCGTGGTATCCTGAGGTGCACCGGGGGTGTAGCCAGCAGRTTGGGAGAGGCGGTGCTGTTCTCTGACAAGTGGAATCTCCTGTGGCTGTCCAAATCTATACAGCATGGCACATTTTCATCGTCCTTCGCGTTTACTATAAACCACTCTGGATTACTCTTGTCGTCTTGTTTTGTCAATGGATAGCCTGATACACCTGGATATTGGAGGCTTGATTTATTTGACATTAGACATAAGCMAAATAGTAACCTGCTTGTGATTCATTAATGAATTTTATTTGTTATTAAAAAAGAAAGCTTAATGTAAAAATACTACTGTGACTCTCACGAAACTAAAGATTTAGTATACATCTTTACATAAAGGGCATTTTTATAACAGTTATTCAGGCAGTAWTTCAGGACTACATGTATTTAATACCTTTACAATCCTACTTAAGACAAGTAAAAATACTGRATGTAGTTGCTGTATACTTTTAAAAAGAATTAATCATTAGCATTTTGATGCCAAATCTGACAGCAGTGGCAATTATTTGTAGCAATTTCTCTATATGGGGAGTACTTGAAACACTGAGAAGAGGACAGAACTCAGTCTAACAAGTGGAGTGTAGACTGCTCACAATTAACTATATTTACTAATCACCTTTTAATTGATCACAGGATGCTGATGACAAAGAAATGAAAGACATTAAGACTGTATTCTGGAATGACTAATACTCCCATCAACTGGCACTGTTGATAATACTAATTACTATGCCCATTATTTTGTAATTATTATGATCTTGTAACTATCTTCTCCATCCTGTGAAGTCAAAGTACATTAGGGCTGGTGTGTTTATTATTTTTCAATTACACTGCAAGATTGTGCTGCTCAGGACATGTTAAAAATAAACGTCTTCTTTGGATSCACAAAAAGAAATAGTACATGTGAGTATGGCACTTCATTGGCATGGCAAACTATGCTAATAAATRTAAGTTGAAGATTATTTGACAATTGACATAGAAAATTTATTTGATGAAGGATGTGCACCATTTCATAGTTTGAAACTCAGTGTGGCTGCCTTCAAACTCCTTTGAATATATGGCTTGCCTTGCACTGTTARTAATAGTTTGTGACAATAGTGCCTAAAACGTAGTTAAGCTAAGAGCTCTACCAACACTGAGGAAGAGATTTAGCRAGTTATCATGTAAAGAAAACAATGGACATACTTAGTATCAAGGGGAAGGGTTTAGCAAAGAGGCATCAGGAACTATGTGATGGCAGCAAGGATCCTCCCCCACACCTTCACACCTGACAGTTTTGTTTCCTKTATAAAATTTAAGGAAGCAAAAGTGAGGGTGAGTAAAAACGTGCTGGAGAAGTGGAGAAGATGGTATAAGTGCAAATATACATGAAACATCTTTAAAACCTGTGAAACTTATATACCTCAGTCTTGTATTTTATTTTGAAGACTTACACAGGAATCCACCACCAATTACTTGGCTTGTTGTTTTGTTATGGGTTTTTYCTCCTAATGCCACATATCTAGGGAAAAGAGTAAATGCTCTTAAAACTATCACCAGTTTTCATGGAATGGTTCAGGTTGAAAGGGGCCACAGCGGTTCATGTGGTGTAACCTCCCTGCTCGGGCAGCATTATCCCAGAGCACATGGCACAGCATTGTGTCCAAGTGGTTCTTGAATATCTCCAGTGAGGGAAACTCCACAACCTCTCCAGACAATTTCAGTGATCTATCACTTGCAGAGTAAAGACATTCTTCCTCATGTTCAGGTGGAACTTTCTGTGCATCAGTTTGTGGACATTGCCTCTTGTCCCTATTGCTTGGCACCATGGAGCAAAGCCTGGTTCCATCCCTTGGCACCCTCCCTTCAGATATTCACAGACATTGATGAGGCCCCCTGTCTCAGTCGCCTTTTCTCAAGGCTGAACAGGCTCAGCCTTTTCTTGCAAGGTTCTCCAGACCCTGAAACAACTCTGTAGCTGGAGCTCCATGCCTGTCTTGTCCTGTGGAGCCCAGAACTGGACTGAGCATTCCAAATATGGCCTCAGCAGAGCTGAGCAGAGGGGCAGGATCATTTGCCTCAACCTGCTGGCCATGCTCTTCCTGATGCACCCCAGGACACCCTTGGCCTTCATGGCCWCYACRGCACACCACTGGCTTAGGGACAGTTTGTTGTCCACCAGGACTCCCAGGTCCTTCYCCACAGAGCTGCTTCCCAGCAGATCAGCCCCAGCCTGTGCTGGTGCCTGGGGCTGTTCCTCCCCAGTGCAGGATSCTGCATTTGCCTGTGCTGAATTTCAGAAGGTTCTTCTCTGCCCATCTCTCCAGCCTAAGTTGTCAAGTGTGCCATTGACACTAAAACTGGTGCATTTTCCTGCACAGTTCAGTGTTGGGGTGGCCCTGCTGCAGCTAAGCCTTACCCTCTCCCAAAGAACCCCTGCTTTAGTTGTTTCTGAAGCTGATGTTTGGAGGCATTATCCTACTTTAAAAGTATATAAAGGGAGACTTATCTACAAGTGGTTTCTGAAATACTCAAATCAATGTGTTAWGTATACCCATTTGTGGAAGATTGTAAAGCAATTATCTGTGGAGATATCCCTGAAGCTCTAGGAGAGGTAGGGAAAAAGTTATACTATGCCCAACTGCACATTTTGAAACTGTAAAAGGGACATTTAAAACCACCACATTTAAATCCATATTCTTGGAAGCAAATATAAAGACAAAAATGGRCTCTGGATCTCAGGGTCAAATTTTATATGAATTCAGTATCTATTATCAGCTCATCACTTCTAAGTATTAGTTACTATTATAACTGCTAAATATAATGTTTTTCTGTGGSTTTACTACCACAACAAAAGTGTGGTGATCTAATTTAACTTGTGTTTCCTAAAATAATTATTTCTTGTATCTAGTGTATAATTTCAGCTGCAGTGATTCTCATCCTGCAGTGCAGATAAATGCTCCACATAAACACCAATGGTTATCTTAATTTGGCCTCATGTTTTGACACCAGTTTGGCCTGATCTGATTTTAAATATTGGAGATTATTAAATATTAAAATTTAAAAATTAAATTAAAATATTTAAAAAGAGACTGAAGACTTCAGACAAACTTTCTCAGCCAGCACAAGAAAATGATTTGTTGCCCCTGAGACTGTGTATCAGTATGCTCAATGGAGAGATCAGCTCATTATGAATCCTTCCAGCTAGTACACCAAATGGAAGTTGAATGGAGTGACTCATCATTAATAACTCCTATTTATTTTCTAATCTCYAAATGCAATGGAAACAAAAAATTAAACTTATGTATAATTTAGTAATATAATTTTCTTTCAGGCCTATAACTTAGTAGTGACTTGCCACTAGGAAAATGAAAGGAAAGGTAAGGAACACAAAAAAATRCTACAGGTTAGAAATAAATATAAGCAAATGAGTGTCTAGATAATAATTTGTAATMTGACAGACAGGCTGTAAAGCTTCTGACACATAACTGGAAGCGAATGGCTGCAGGGCATGTCCTGTGGTACTGTAACCCCTCCAATGCCATATGTGTCAGAAATACAATTGCATTCCTTAAATGTACAGGTTACTTGGTGCCGAAATAACTTGCACTTTTTACCTGGCGTTGTCTTGACCTTGCAGTGTGTGTCCTCCCTTTTCTAAGCAGGAGGATGCAGAAAGATGACATGTCCAGTTTTCCAGGCCWGTGGCCCACTGTCAGGCTCTGGTGCCAGCAGGGTGCAAAGGKTGTCCAAGATGAAGCCACTGGCTCCTCAGCTCTGCTGGCAGCCTTCAGCCTCCTGCCACCTGTGCCCCTGCATATCATCAGCTGTGTCTTTCACATCCATAAGAAACTACAAGAGTGCACTGAAATCTTTGGCTGCAGTCTGTGTATTTTTTTGAGACAATACCAAAAATAAATATGATAGAGGTCTCAGTTCTGCAGTCATATGACATTCAGTTTCCTACATAATTTGGTTCAAAGTCTGCAAGAAACATTATGCAGGGATGTTGAGACATAAACTGGAGTGCTTGACACAAAGATTTACATAAAATTCTCTGTGTCTTTTAGGTCAGTAAGCACTGTCTCAATGTTTAAATAGCATGAKAAGGCACTGATTGAAACTGAGTATTAAGGAACTTAGCATAGAGATGTGACAAAGTCATCTCCCCCTTCCTTAATTGCCCTCTGGTTACTGAATCTGGGAACCAATATCTCAGAAGTGGATGGAGAATGTAATGAATTAAAGTGATTCCATTCAGAATTAATTAAAAAAAAAAACCAAAACATTACTTGTTTCAGCTTTCTTTAGCCTGTTCACTGTGTTTTCTATTTTCTAGGAACTGAGCTGGAAACAAATAAAATTATTTACTGTGTGTAGCTGGATTTTACTTCATGTTGTGGCAAGGAACAGAGTACATGTTGTGAGAACAGAATTTCTTTTTCAGAGAATTTAAAATTACATATAAAAACCACTGTGCCACCTTTAATGAGGGAAATACATGTATGTTTTTTACCAAATAAAGCTGTTGCTGTTTTGAACTCAAAGTGGCATTTTAGATCAACTGTTTGTGAAAACCGTTTCATTAGCACTTGGAGGATTGTGTTTGGGGAGGTTGGTGGAGTGTACATTGGATCTCCTGCCAACCGTGTTCCTGTTCTGGGCAGTCAGACCATCATCTCAGCACCAGRAAGTTGAGGAAAAATACTCTGAGGCACCTAATTTAAAGAGC